TCGTCTCATTTGCAACAACATGGATGGACCTCGAGGGTATTATGTTAAGCAAAATAAGCCAGACAGAGAAAGACAAACACCATATGATTTCACTCATATGTGGAATATAAACAAATACATGGACAAGGAGAACAGATTAGTGGTTATCAAAGGGGAAGTGGGTGGGAGATAAGCAAAAGGGTAAAGGGATGTGTACATATACATGGTGACGGATAAAAACTAGACTATTGGTAGTGAGCACAATGCAGCCTATCCAGAAACTGATATACAATAATGTTCATCTGAAATTACACAATGTTATAAACCAATGTGAAAAAAAAAGAAAAAGATTTAATAATTCTATACAAGCTCTGCCACGAAATTAAAAAGGAAGGAATAGTTTGCAACTCAATCCATGAAGACTGGCATCGCCCTGACATGAAACCCAGAAAAAAAAATAACAAAAAGACCATAGAGTAATGTCCTTTTACATCCTCCTATCTATATCATGAACATAGATACAAAAATTCTTAACAATATTTTAGAAAATCTAATTCAACAATATATAAAAAGGACAATACATCATGACGAAGTGAGGTTTGTCCCAGGAATCCAAGGCTGATTAAACAACACAAATCAGTCAATGTAATTCATCCTACTAACAGACTGAAAGAGAAACACTACATGATCATCTCAATAGATACAGAAAAACCATCTGATAAAATCTAACATGCATCCCTGATAAAAACTCTCAGTAGTAGGACACGTGTGGAAAACCTATAGCCAACAGCATATTTATTCATGAAACACTACACTTTCCTGTTAAGATCAGGACCAAGGCAAGATGTCTGTTCTCACCACTTCTATTCAACATTGTACTAGAGATCCTAGTCAGTGCACCAGAATCAAATAAATAAATAAAAAACTAACTAAATAAATAGCATCCAGACAAGAAATAAAGAAGTAAAATCGAATGAATTTAGTAAGGTGGCAGCGTACAAGAGCAATATACAAAAACAATTTTATTTCTATATACTAGCAGGTGACAGAAGCCAGACTCTACTCCCCACAAAAAGTACACACTCTATGATTCCAGCTCTATAATATAAACTGTAGAAAACGCAAACTAATTTATAGTTAACAGAGAGAGCAGTGATCGTCTGACAATGGGGACATTAAAGAGGGGCAAGGGGAGGAGTACGAAGTTTCAGGGGTAATGACTATGTTCAGTATCTTGAGTAGGTTGCTGGTTTCACAGGAGTACACATAAGTCAAAACTTACACTGTACAGTTTAAATGTGTACAATTTATTGTATGTCAATGACACATCAATTCAGCTATTTTTAAAAGATACTAAAAAGAGACAGCAACCAAATGCAACGCATGAACTCTGATTAGATCCTAGCTTGGAAGGAAAAAATCAGCTTTAGAAGACAACTGGGACTACCGGGGGAATTTGAATATGGATTTGTCTTTAGGTTACTTTAGGTAATTGTTGCTTATTTTCTCAGGTGACAATGATATTGTGGTTATGTAAGTGAATATTTTATGCCTGAGATATTTGCTAAAATATCTCATGAAGAACAAAACTTCAAATTGTATAGCAAATGTACACACACGTACGTATCCACACAGAGGACATAAAGCCAACACAGTAAAACATGAACAATCAGTGTACCTAAGTGGTGGTTATATATGTGTTCATTATATCTTTTTTCAATTTTTCTAAATATTTCAAAATCTTCATAATAAAGGTTAGGGAAAAAATATATGTCTAACTTAACCTAGGCTAACACAATATTACCTTCAAAGATGCTTCAGAACAAATAAAGAATAAATAAAGCAATAAAAAAAGTAATAAAAAAGTAAATTTTAAATAAATTTTAAAAAAGCAAGAAGTACAAACAAAACCTTTGCAAAAGAAGTGGATCTACAGAAAAGACAACGAGATCACAGTGTAGAGAGAAAGTAGGAGACCATGACGCCTCAGAGAGAGGTGCTGGGGGAGACGCTCACCTTCCTGGTTCCCAAGAGTCTGCCGTACTTCCTACACTTAATTGACCTTCATGAGCTTTTACTTCGTTCCTAAAATAATTTCCTCTCTTCAAAGAGTTTCTGTATTTTGCAAATAAATGATCACTGACTTAAGAGGTTACATGGTATAAAACAGTTACACATTTGTACACAAGCTGATAACACTTTAATATTTTACACGTTGTTTATTGGAACTAGCTGAGGGTTCCTTCCATACTCTGCAAAGCCAAATTCCCACTTTTCAACAATGAATCAATTTCAGATAAAACAAGATTATCTCTACCATGACTTTAGCATCCAAAAAGCTATCAGCCCACATTAAATCAGTCATGAAAATTCTTCCTCCTCAATGTCTCAATCTAGCCTTTCCTGGGCTCTGCTGCCTTGGGGTGTCAATTACTATACACCCTCCAATCTCTCTGCCTTATTTCACCACCAACCCTATCCCTCCAGTTCATCCTCCCAAAGCAGAGCTAAAGCAATCTAAAATGCAAATCTGACAATGGAATCCTACTCCCGCAACTCACACGAAGTCCTACATTGCTAAATACCACGCAGTCATTTAAAAAATGGGGATTTGAGTAATGACAAGAAAGAGGCAAATTTAAAAAATAACAAAAATGCTATTTTGCAAAAATTCTGTATGTCAATGATAGCAAACTCTAATGCGTAAAGCAGCACTGCCGAGCAGAACTTTCTACAATGATGGAAATGTTCTATATCTGAACCATCCAATATGGTAGCTCCTACATGTGGCCAAGGAGCCCTGGAAATGTGGCTCGTGCAACTGAGCAAAAGAATTTTTAATTAACTTAATTTAATAAATTTAAAACTAAATGGCGACATCAACTAGTGGCTACTATATTGAAGAGGGCAGGTTTGTAAGGTCAAGGCAGGGGACTATCAGCAAAGCCATACTGATGTAAACGCAGACTCATGCCCATCTAAAGCAGATGCAACAAGTATAATGGAATTCGGGCTTAGCGCTGCCAAAGTTTCACTTTTTTCAATGAAAGCCAGAAATTCAGACTTAATGTGAAAGTTATCAATTTAAAAATGTTGGCAACCAACTCAAAAAAACCCTTTTTAACCACCCTGACCAAACAAACATACAAAGACCCCATTCAGTTTTTGATCTCTGAATTATGTTATTCACTCATTCATTAAATATTTACTAAGTGTCTACTGCATACCATTCTGGATGCTAGCGATACCACAGAAAACAAAAGACAAAACTCTCTACCCAATTTGCAAAAATAGTAATGCTAAAATGTGCTAGCATATACTAATATAAATCTAAAGAAATATACACCAAACTATTCACAGAAGTTATTTTTGGTGGCAGGATGGTGGCTCTAAGGGATTTAGTATTTCCATCTTATATATGTCTGTGTTTAAATTTTTACATGATACATTATTACCTTTTTAAGCCCCCAAACCAACAACGGCAACTATTGTTGTACTTTCCATTGGTTTCCATAGGCCTCAATAAACTCCTTCATATGGTAGACCAGGCCCCTCACAGCACTGCCTCCTACTGTTTCCCCAGGCACCTCCCCCAAACGCTCCTTCCCCACTAAGCTCCAGACCCACTGACTGACACCTCTCAGAAAAGAAAAGCTCTTATCTCTACGTCTGTGTACATCTATTTACACTCTGCTTTTTAGCTCTGCTTTTAGCTCTGCTCATAGGCCAAGCAAACTCTTGCTCATCTCTCATGACCTACGTGAAATTTTTAAAAACTATTCTGACACAGAAGGTATGAGCAGAGCCCCAAACACTGTATGTATATAAGTAAAAACATCGTCATTTATATCACTGACAATCAAGTGTCACTTAGAACAGGAATAGTGGCTGACATTTTGTAACCTCTGGTTTAACCTTAAGAACAGGTAAAAAATGGGAGAAGAAATCTATTTATACATTTTCCACAAGCCAATCACTAGACTACACAGAGCATGAGAATCAGGGCTGAGAGCTCCTTCAGAGAACCGCAGCAGGTCAACGAACAGCGGGCAGACTGCCAGGACTACTAAATGAATGATGCGAGGAAATTAAACAATTTGATTGCTAGCCTCTAAGAACATGTCGGATCCTTAATTCTTTAAGTACCATCTCCGAAGGAGCAAGGACAGCACTCACAGCTGAAGCCTGGAATGCAGCGTTAACAAAGCTGCTGAAAAATGACTATTTCTTCTCTAGCTTCTATGGAAACAGATGTCAGATTGGCAAAAATAGGACACGTACTTTAAAATAATTATTCGAGCAAAGTACATACATGATGGAAGTCTTAAAAAAAGAAACTGGAAGGCGACCAACTTGGTTCTCAAGCTTCCAAACGTCAGACAGCACCCCTCACCGCGGCGAGGCGACGGCGTGAACGAAACCCTTTTGGGGTGGGTTTTGGTAGGAGTCACTACAATCGATCCATCCCTTAATTCCAAAGGGGGCATTCCCGTCTCCCCGGACTAAGACGTCCCTGAGGACTGCATGGCACAATAAAACTGTCGCTCCATCTTGCACAGGCAAGTGATGTTATTTAAATAGTATAAAAAGTGATTCTTGTAGACAAGTTTTTGAAGAGATTATTAACACTCCCCAGAACGGTTCAGAAAGGAAACTTTACATTCTTCCCTGCCAGGTTTAAGGAGGAAAACTCCCATTCCCTCTACTTTGAGCGTGAGGCATAAGAGAGGGGCGGCCCCTCAGGATGCTCTAGAGGCGGCGTCCAGCATGAGGGGCGGGGGGCCACCGCGAGAAAGCAAGGCGGAGGGACAAGACGGCGACGCGGAAGGGATGGGGAGGGGACGTGGAAGGGACGCGGGGGCATCCGCCGTCCACCGCGAGGCCGGAGGGCACGACGCTTCTGTTCTCAGACCCCAGCCTGCCCGTCGCCCCGCCCCCAGGCCGCGCCCCCCCCCCCGCCCGTCCCCCCGGCCCCCGCCTCGCCCCTGGCCCCCGCAGCCCCCTCCACCCCACGCTCGCACCTGGCCCTCCCCTCGGCCCGGCTCCCCGCGGAGAGGAGAGGACAGGAGCCCGCACAGACCCCCAAAGCGGCAGAGCGTGGCAACGCCTCCGGGTCGCCCGCGCAGGCGCACGCCCACCGCGCCCCGCCGCGCCCCGCCCCTCGCGCCCACGCAGGCGCACGCCCACGGCGCCACGCCGCGCCCCGCCCCTCGCACCCGCGCAGGCGCACGCCGCCGAGCCGTGCTCCGCCCGGCGGGTCGTCACGGCGCCGTCCTCCCGCGGGAGTGGCTGAGCGGACCGCGGCCTCTGCGGCCGGAGGAGGGGCGTGGCTGCTGGCCGGCGCGCGTCGTTCCTCCGACGTCCTGGAGCCAGACTAGGCGGCGCTGGGGTCTCTGGAGCTGGGTCCAGCCAGGCCGCGCCCGCCGAAAGCAGAGAGGCGCGGGGCCCGCCGGAGTTCGGGGGTCTTGTGCTGCTGGAAGCCGACCCTGGAGCTCGAGAGCGCGGCTGTCACGTGAGCTCTAGAGCGGCACTGTGGAGAAAGGTGATGGATGACCTGAGGCTCCGGAAGCTAGCTGAAAATAGCTGGCAGCGAAGCGAGGTGTGCAGTTCGCTTCATTCATTCCACCAGACGGTGTTTGTTGACCACCAACTGCGTTCTAGGTGCCGGGGGTGCGGGGGTGAACAAGACAGGCCGACTTCCATAGAGCTTGCAGCACAGCAGGACAGACGGACAACAGGCAAGTCACCGAGTAAGTAAACGAGGTATCAGATACTGATATGATTCCATATTAGTTAGTTATTTTTATATTTATAGCCTGTGCCCAATGAAAAACATCTTGAAGGTTGTAAACACTATGAACAATTTTAGGTATCACTTTTAGAGGCTTTATAAGTAATTCTTTTTCTTTTCCCTCGCTTGTCTGTATGTCATAATTTCCCTTTTACTTTGAGAGGACTATCTTGGCAGACCCCTGACCACTGATTCCCTAAAAATTGAAGAGGCAGATCTTGATGAGGTTATCTCCCACCGTCTAAAGTACATGTGTCTTACGAAGGTTTCCAGTGTACTGGCCACCCCTTTTCACCCTGCCTGATGAGCAGATGTCATCAATGTAACAGATAAGTGTGATGTTCTTGGGATGTCCAGGTTACTCAGATCTTTTGGACTGTATTGTGACAGCTGGAACGGTGTGATCAGGGCTACCACGTGGTTAGGTCTGCGATAGTCTGTAAGTCATTCTCCTGGTTTCTGAAGGGGTCAGGCTGGCAAATTAAATAGAAATATGACAGTGATGAGCTCAGTCCCTGCTCTAGGTCTTTACCCATTACGTTAATTTCCAACATCGTCCCCTCATCCCCTTGAATGAAATAGTGTTATTGACTTATTATCTCAACTTGGTAGAGAAGGGACAGTTTCACAGGCTTTCACTAGTCTTCCTCACCATGAGAACCCAAGGCCAAGGGCCAAATGTGGAGCTGGTTCCAACCACCCGATATATACTTCCAATTATGTACTCAGGGACTGGGGAAATGGCCACTGGCTGGGTCTGTGGCCTCATGGACCCACTGCAAGCTAGAAGTTGTCCAGGACTCTGCTTATCACCTGACCCCCATAAGCCTCCACTCTTCCAGAGGGGCCATGATAACACTCTGGGTTTCTGGGTAAGAAGATCCTTTCTGACCCTGTGGAATGTCTGGAAATTCCTCTTTCCCCAGCATAGACTTAGCTGAGGAAATAGTCATCGGCTGTAGAGTAATCGTTGCAGTAAGTACTTGTTCCAGTGTTGCAGCATCCTTCATCCTAGGGACCCAGCCACCTCTTCAGTCACACCTCTTCAGTGTGGTCTGGGTCTGAAAATTGACTCAGATCTGAGAATTGAGCAAAGAGCACGACGTTTTATTGGGGCACCCACACTCAGACTCCTGCTCCTCCATTCCTGCCTACTTCTGGTTGTAGGTGTTCAGCAGTACTCTGTTCTCTGCCCATCTGTTTTTCCCCTAGGGACACCTTGGATGTTAAATACCTCCAAAATCCTGTGCAGATCGAGCCCCCTAGGCTGTGCCTCCGCTCTGCCAGCTGTGATTGCAGCCTCCAGGCACCTCGCGGTTAGAGCTACTACTACCTGGCTTCTCTTACTTCAGGATTCTCTTATCCCCCAGATATTGTGGAGCCCAGCCCTGTGATTGCTTCTCTTCCCGCCATCCCTGGTTCTCCTCTCACCGTGCATTCCCATTGCCGTTGTATATTGTCTGTCCTTTGGGCTTCCCACAGAACATAACCCTATGTTTGGTCTTCCAGCTCCACACAATAAATCATTCCAGCAAGCCCACTTCCCTCAGGCCCTTCTTTCTTTCCTCTACAGTCTGACACATTAGTTCACCGGCTCTCCTCCCTAGATGATATTTCCCTTGGCTAAAGACACCTGCCTCGTCCAAGAATGTGCCTTCTCCCCAGGGACAGTGCACATTCAATGACCGATTAACCTGGGAGTACACAGGTCTGACCCCTGTCCTTCAGTTGAAGACAACCCTGCAGGGCCGTCCCAGCTCCGGAGCTCTCCGTGGGATTGGCTGAGAGGCCCCACTTGTCCCTCTGCCCACTCCTCTGTCCCTCCGTCCCACTAGGTGTTAGCCCTGCACACAGACTTATCTCAGAGTCTGTTTCCAGGGAAGCCAACCTAAGGCTACTCAGTTTTCTCCAGAAATGGAAGCTGCTTTGATTTAGAAAGACTTTCATTTACACCTTCTCGAGGAAGTACTCGAAGCTGAATCCTGAGTTAAAGGAAAGACTAACAATGAAGAATTATGAGGCATGACTTGTTTTATTTATTTATTTTGAGGAAGAGCAGCCCTGAGCTCACATCTGCTGCCAGTCCTCCTCTTTTTGTTGAAGAAGACTGGCCCTGAGCTAACATCCATGCCCATCTTCCTCTACTTTATATGTGGAACGCCTACCACAGCACAACTTGCCAAGCGGTACCATGTCCACACCCGGGACTCGAACAGACGAACCCCGGGCCGCCGAAGCAGAACGTGCGCACTTAATCACTGCACGGCCGGGCCGGCCCCCGCCTGACTTGTTTTAGATCTAGGTGTAGACAGAAGCTCAAACACAGATTCTCTGCTGATCTAGACGCAGGTTGAGAGCCCAGGATTTGACGAGGGTCTCATCTTTGCGAGGTTGCAGTGGATGGGCGGTACCTTGACTGGAAGGGGCCTTCGTTTTGAATGTGTGCCAGGCATGACTCTTCCAGATGTTGGGAATGACTGCTTCTGGATCTGAAATCACCCCAACACAGATAATTGCAGCATCTTCATTTGCATATTCTACTCCAACAAAAATTAGCTCAGCATTTTCTTACATGTTTGGCTTCTTTTACTTTTTCTGTCATCACAGCCCTTCTTCCCACATAACATAAACAGCATGCCGTTTAGTTTTCCTTTTTTTTGGCCTGAAGCGAGTGGTCACACAAAGTTCTCGTGGGTTTTTTTTAGAAATTGCCCCCTGGACTGTTACGGCTCTAGCTTGCTGACTGCTCTGCCTGCCTCCCATCTCATTCCTATTGTCTAAACAGCAGCCACCTGGACCCAGTTCCTGAAGTTGGGGCCCAAGATGATTCAAGACGGCTCTGCGAGCTCCAGCTGGGCCCAAGAGGAAGGCCACAGCTTGGACACGTCCTTGCTCACTCCCCAGAGACTGGTTCCAGGTGAGGACTTCCTAAGAGTCACCGCAAACTGTTGCTCAAGTGAAATGTTAATACCACGGAAAAGCAAAACAAAAAGAGAAAAGTACTCCTAACCCCACTGCCCAAAGATAATCACTGTTAACATTTTGATGTGTAACCCTCTTGAAATGCAAGATTAGCATTACTTTAAAATTTAAAACTTTGATAGGATGAGATGCTTCTCACTGTCGTTTTAATATGCATTTCTTTGATTCCTAACAATGGAAACACATTTTCATGCTTATATGCCATTTGGATTTCTGCTTTAGCAAATTACTTGTTTGTGCCCTTAACCCATTTTTTAATAAAATACTCATTTTTATCTTATTGACTTATAAAAATATTTTTTATAATATTTAAGAATTGTCTGTTGTTTATGTAGTAGCATCTTCATCTGCATATTCTCCGACAGAAATTAGCTCAGCATTTTCTTACGTTTGACTTCCTTTGCTTTTTGATTGACATTTGTTTTTCAACTTTGTTAATTCATGTATGTTTATACAATTTTTAAAATTTTGCTATAGACAAATCTAGCCATCTTTTCATTGTGGTTTCTGCCTTTAAGGTCATATTTACATTCTGTCTCAATCGCAAGATTGTGTATTTACCAATATTTTCTTCTGCTATTTAATGCCTTTTACTTTCTTAAATCTTTAATCTACCGAGAATTTATTTTGGTATAAGGTAGGAAGAAAAATGTAACCTAAAGCGTTTTCTGAATCAGTGAAGCTTTTGCAGAAGACACGCGCATGCGCCCTTGCCATGGTGAGGCCACCAAGGTCACTGCTCTCCCAGCAGTTTATTGAATAACCCCTCCCTTGCTGACCGACTGGAAGCGTCACTTTTGTTACATGCTAAATTCTCATAAATAGCCATGTCTGTTCTGGACTTTCTCTTTTGTTCCTTTGTCTATCCTGGCACTACGTAATTCTAATTACTCTAACTTTACAATATAGATCTTATTTTCAGATATTTTCTGGCTCTTCTTACACATTTGACCTACAAGATGAACTTTAGAACTATTTTTCAAGTCGTCCCCACCAAAAAAGGAATGGGGTTTTCGTTTTATTAGTGCTGCTGTTTTAAACTTAGATTAATTTGGGGGACACATAGCTCTGCAGTGTGGACTCTATCACTCCAGGAAACCGACAGGTTTCTCCATTTATCTAGGGCTTCTTTTATGCCTCTCCATAAAGTTTTACCGTTTGCTTATATAGGTCAAAGGAGTTTATTTTTTAAAGGAATTATAAACTTTGACTTCGTAGGATTATAAAATCTCAGAGATGGAAGAGACTTACAAATCACTTCCTCGCCCCACCCAGTGTGTTGCTGAGTCCCTGCTCTCCAACAACCAAAGATGCAGGGTGTATCGTGGTGTGTTTTTTAACACAATGACATTATACTATATATATTTTCCT